CTCAAGAACACCACCGACGAGCTTGCCCGCGCCAAACAGAAACTCCACAACCTGGGCAATCCCCTCACCCCTGTGAAGAGTACCAGCCACGCCACCGGCTCTGGCGAACCCTCCCGCCCACCAACTCCACCGGCCTCCAAGCCAAAACTGGCGGACGTCCTGCAACTTCCACACCCAACACTGAAGGACGACGTCCCCGACAGCTGGACCAACGCTGATATCCAACAGTGGGTCACCACTTTCGACCCACTGTTCAGGAGGGCGCCAACGAAGTCCTCCGTTTGCTGCAAACAAGTAAAGTCACCACCCAGCAATTCTACACGCTACGGCCTCCCGCTCGGCCGCGTCAATCGCGTCCCTATTCGAAGTTTGCAACACCTGGTGAGCGTGGGAGCAGCCATTGGCTAGCCACGACACCATGCAACAACTTTTCCACCTCCACCGCGCCCTATCCCTTTTGATCCACCACACACAATACATCGAACGTGCAGAAGCCATCTTTGCGACAGGCCTCATCCACATTACTTTACTCTTTGCCTATCCATCCACAACACATCGATAATGGAGAAATCGTTTCCGCCAGCTCCACATACTCCCCCATACCTATCACTACCACAACTTTCTTTCCCAGAATTCCGTCTACATCAAACTCCACTTCAACCCCATTCCACCACATCGCTGTTACCACCAGCATGGCCACTTCTACGTCGGCTCTACCGCCATTGGCATTCCTCACAGAGAGCACAACCGCCGCGCCAAGCTCAAACAACTCCAGAACAACATTCACCACTACACCACCATCCAGCTCACATCCCATGACACCTACGATCAAGCCTGGACCCAAGAACGCCACCATATTGCTAACTGGATGCCCACACTCAACTGGCCGTTCATCTCCCACCACCTCAAACTCAAAGCCCAGGGATGGCAATTCACAAAACATCGCGCACACTTTTACTCCAGGCTAGCCACCCACAAACGCCTGTTTCGACGACTGCGGCAACGCCAACTCACCCTCCGAGAACCGCACCTCTACACCTCCACCAAACATCACGCTCTCACACTTCTTCGCAACCTCACCAAACACACAGCAGCCTCTTTTGAAGCAGCCAAACAACTGCGGAGCGGTCGCCGCACTGACCTAGAGGTCTATGCCATCCGGCGTATGGCCGCCAATCTCGAAGAACCAGGCCGCAGCAGAGCTCTCCACATCATCAACAAAGCCCTCCTTTATCGCAATCTTACTCCACCCAAACCCAACATTCCGCTGACGGTGCCTTTCTTGGCGCACGATGACTTTACCAAACACTGCCAACAGTGGCTCCGTATCACCATCCAACAGCACAAGCATTTGGCCATACCCCTCCACCTTCCATCCCATCGCATACGTGAAGCAGCTCACAAGACCCTGCGATCCCAGCTCCACAATCACAGGACCTGGGAAGACACTCTCCGCTCACCACCTGATCCAGCAGACCTCCCCTGTGCGTGCAACCACCTTCGCACTCTCCTCCACGATCCAGACACACCTACCACCAATGGTCACTACATCCTCACCTTGGACCAACTACAACTTCCACCACATCTCACCATTTTCTCAATGCCAACATGAACAGCACCTACTACCCCAGCAAGGCCCGTTACTTCCTCACTTTCCAAAAAGCCTACACGGCTCAAACTCCAAGGGCTACCACCATCCCTCGTCCAGCATTTGGAACCTTTTCTCGCACATCAATGGCGCCTCCACAACGCCCACCTCCAACAACAACCCCGCTTTACAGCTCGGTTGCTCCGACAACTCCAAGAACTTCTCGGCCCACATACAGTACTTCACCATGCTGACCATGAACTACAGCAACTCCGACTGTTCTGCCCCCGCCAATATTTCACCGGAGCTCTGAACACGTGGCAATCCCCAGAACTTTTTGAACCACTTCACTATCTTACAGCCGCCAACATCCACGACCATCTCAAAGCCACTGTTCCACCCATCCTCCGCACCCGCTACAAGTGGGGATTTCGCAAGGATTTCAACATTCCCTACGGGGTGGTTCACCTCAAGGAGAAAAAGCAATGGCAGAAAGGCCGCACCATTATCTCATACTTTCATTCACTCACAGGCAACCTCCTACGTATCACCAGCCGTGCCCTTGACATTATACTCCAACACCTCTACCCACAACATCCAGGACAACTATCCATCCCACAACTCTGGCACCACTTCCACAGCTACCTCACCCAAACACCAGCGGACATCTCCCTACATGCCACCAACGACGACCTGGTGGGTTTCTTCAACTCGGTCCCCCAACACCGACTGATCGATGCAGTTCACTCCATGATTCAGCACTGGCAACAACAGCAATCCACACACACTCTCACAGTAGATGTTCAAGCCACCGGCAACCCCTTCCACCACTCCCACATCGGCAGACGCCACCAAAAACACCCTACACAACGCACCATCCAGACCTCTGACATCACCACTATCGTTGCTTATGCACTCAACACTTGCATTTTCCGGGCTTGCAATAACACCTACAAGCAAATCCGAGGAGCTGGGATTGGCTCCCAACTCTCTCCAGCCCTGTGCAATGTCGCCATCGCCCTCATTGAACACTCCTGGCACCAGATCCACAACAACCTACTACAACACACGAACCTGCACTTTGCTTACTACCGCTACGTTGACAACCGGTTCATTGTCCACAATGAGCATTTCCTCCGCCGCCCAGCCATTCAAACCCTCATCCACCACAATTTCTTCGGGGACCCAGTGGAACTGGAACCTGTTGACGACTTTCACCTCCTAGGTTTCAACATTGACCTCCAACAACGCACCATCACCTACATACAACCTTCCCAACCCTGGAAAATCAGGGATGCCACCACAGGCGGGAGCCGGCGCTTGGCTCTGTCAGGCCTCCAATCCATACTCCACACTATCCACAAATACACCTTTCCACCCTCAAGCGCTGCCGCTGCTGCCGCCGAGCTAGTGAGGCTCTATGTCCAAAAAGGACACAATCGCCAAGCCTGCCACCGTTTTTTGAAAAAGCGCCGACGACGGCAACCTGTGTGTGTCAACCCCTGGGCCAAGGGTTTCCTACCGCCACTTCCACTACCACTTTTTAACCACTGTTTCACCAGCAGGGGGATGGAGAGGACACGTGAGGCTCCATCCAACGAAGCTCCTCACGTGCTCCTAGGATATCATCAGGGACGCCTGATGACGTACCTGCACCGTGACACTACTCCACTCTTCCTGGCTGTCTTTTGATGCCATGGTCGTTCATGTTTCTTCCCCCAAACCTTTTCCCACCGCCGACCTGCAGCCACTTTACCACTGTGCGTTTTCCGCAGTCAAGTGTGAAAACCATTTTTTGAAACATCTACAATTGCGCTGACTCTCCACCTTACCGTTGAGCCATTCCTTTTCTCGGGAAATTGAGTTAACTGAATACAATTGTCAGAGTGTGTGTCTGCGCGTGCGTGCTATCATGTCGTTGTTGTAACATGTTGCCACTCAGTCGCGCCAACGTGCAAGTGTGCGCAACGTGCTGTGTGTGCTGGCATGTGCTGGCTGAGACCCCAACATTTTGTCAATGCTGACATGCCCAGGTGTTGTCGAGTGGATATGCTATGCTGACGTGGTGTCATGTTGAGGTGCTGTATAATTCAATGCTGTCATTCGGACATGTAAACACACTAGCATGTTGTCACGCTGGTAATGGCGGCGCCGCGTTACGCTCATAGGCTGTCACACTGACGTGTATTCACTGACCTGGGTAATGCTAGCAGGCACACACGTTGTCACGCTGAGATACTAAGATTGGGTCACTCTGTCGTGCTGACAGGCTCCAGCGCGGGTTTCGGAAACGGATGGTTCTTGCTTGTTCCCCCGTTGTCATAGTTGCCGGTGTCCAAGCGCGTGTATGCTATGCCAACATACTGCCTTGCTGTGATGCCCCCATGGCGCATCGCAAAGACTGACATGTGAGTGCGAGCTCGTGATGTTGCCATTGCCTAATGGGCCGATTCATGGTCGGCTGTTACGATTTTTCCCGGGTTTATACCTCTTTTGCTCGCTCTGGCGGGAGCGCTGCGCCCTGTCACCTGTTTGCTGTTGGTGAGGTTGGATCCCTGGTGACTTTAGGTTGTGGTGGGGTTGGTGGGCTGTGGTTCTTGACATTTTGGTGCTGGGCTTTTGGTGTCCACCTTAATTAAATCCAAAAGGCCAGGCTCTAAACTTGAAGATTGCCAAAAGCCAGCCTACGAATGTCACCAACTGGAGTGCCCCTGGCAGGCCTAAAAAAAGAGCAATTTTTTTGGGCCAACCTCATCATTCAGAGAATCTTGGGCGGGTTGGTTTTGTCCACTTTATGCTGTTTTCAGCCAGGGAACTTTATTTTGGCAGTTCTGGTGCCCCCCCATGCTCATGTTGTCAACAGATCTTTGCAGAGGTAGGCCCAGAGTACTTTATCTTATTATTTCAGGGTGGGCAACCTGTTGATAACATACAGGTATATTTTAGCTGAGACGTGTCACGGAAACAGCTTCGAGGCAGCAGCATCAACAGCCTGAACCGCAAATCCATACAAATCCCACTGTCACCGCCTGCCACCTGCGCAGCAAAATCATCCTCCGTTACGTTTCTATGCGATTCTGGGCTATTTCACACGAATCTGCCACTTCATGCTTCCTTCCATCCAAAACCTCCAAAAACTTCCCCCACTGTCACGGCCTTATTGCTCACAAACGGCCGCTTGTGCACAGCTGCGAACATGAAAACCACGTCACGCGAACACAGCTCTACCCTCAGACTCCCAAAGTTAAACGAGAACCCTTCGCCACGCGTTCGGGAAAAAGAGTGTATACTGTATTTGCACATAATGAGTCATCATCACATTGTTTTGGGATGAGATGAGCTGACTTGCCTTGATGGTGCGATTTTGCAACTCTACAATTTTCGAACATGTTCAAAGGATTTGACCTCTGAGGCCATTGAAACTGAGGAAGCAAAGCGGCAGTTGAACCGAATATTCGACGTGGTAGACGTTCCTAAGCGGCAAAGTTTGTTGTTGACAGTTTTGTCACCGATCAATTGTTGCTTTACTAAGCGAAATGGCTCATGTAACATGTAACATCAATTATTTTGCATGATTGGCTGCTTCCACTTAGCATCGCCAAGTCTTGTTTCACTGGGTTCATGGGCAGAGGGAGGGAGGCTTGATTCATTGAAATCCCGTTTGCTGATAGAGTCAGACCTGTGCTTTCCACACAAATCAATTGCCAAATCTGGAATTGTTAAATTTGTTAGATGCATGTTTCCTAATTTCTAAGGTTTGAGGATTTTGAGGCATTAGGAAGTACGGAACAGGATGCCGTTGCCTAAGGATAGTGGCGGTGGCAAAATTGATTTCGAGGAGCTGATAGATTCTTGGCCCTAGTAGCAAACATTGCTCCTAGTAGGAAGGCCAGGAGCCCCTAATAGCGTCCTTGCTCCTAGTAGTACGGCCAGGAGCCCCTAGTAGCGTCCTTGCTCCTAGTAGCGATGCCAGGAGCCCGTAGTAGCGCATTTCTTCCTACAGCATTTCCTACGGTGGCGTTCGGGGATGCTAATGTCAAGAACATGCAGCCGAGGCATTTATCCGCGAGCAGTTCGATGACGTGCTGGATGTTTGGTGGCTGAGTGTACTGATTGTAAACAAAGCTCAATGTTCGTTAATCGTAAACACTCCACATATCTCCAAATTATTGCAATTTTGCTCAGGAAGCGTCTGATGCTTTGCGAAACCCAGTTGGTGTTGCCAAAAAGATAGGCGAGAGAAAGGCCATGAAGGCCAGCAGATGTCAACTTCGACCGATTGTGTCCTCCATTAGATCAGATGTCGATTACTCGAGCTAGTTGCGTCGACTAGTCAATGGCTAGGCAGCGAAGTTGTACAAAGATTATGACTCGCAGCTTGGCACAGCTTGGCCGAATACAGCTATCAGTGAATTGAACACTAAGAGAGCATCGATTGTTCTAAGGTGGGATTCACCAGATATCCCTGAGCACACCTCAATGATAGGCAATTGGATTGTACTTGCGATTTAAAAGATTTTACAAGGGTTTGCACTTGGTGATTCAACTATGTCGATCAGGATTTCCCTCGACATCGACGAAGGTTCCTGTGACACCCTGCTAAAGCAGGCAGTTCCATCGCCTTGGACCTCGAATCTTTGCGATTCCTGGAATAGTATGGACACTGCACCGTACTACTAGTATGTCAAGTTCATGCAGTTTTCTTTGCCTCTAAGCCTTTTGTTATGCGTTCCTTTCTGTTGGGATGCCAAATTTCCCGCTGTGGTTTGTGTGCTGTCAACGTATTTCATTCCTTGGTTTGAAGGAGTTGTTTATTGTTGTTTGGTTTCTTTGCGTACTTCATGACCTTTTGTTTGACTTACCGTGGTCCTACTGAAGCACAGGCGCAGGCAGTGAGCATTAAGACGTATGACATTTTTAGATGTTCGCCAACACATGTCATTGTCCAGCCGTTTCTAGCGAACAAAGTACAGCGATCAAACTGGCATCATCCCCACAAAATGATTCTCCACTTGAGTCTCTCTTTCTCCTTTCCACACCAAAGTCCAAGATGTTGATCACCGGAAAGTCCAAGAAGTATGTTCAGTTCTGATGTTTCTCTGGATTCGAGGTCCAAACGTCGAACGTGGGTTAGCTTGCAGGGGCCCTCCCTGCTAATGCGGTGCGGAGGCAATGCTAATCAACTCAGATCAAAACTTTGGCAATGCGGACTTTTGCCGTGCATGTGCCGACCGCGCATTGTGGTCCTGCTCGAAAGATTGCTTAGGTAGGTAATCGTATGCTTAAGTGGGGCTTTACTTTTCCTCTCGCAAAGCTCGAAAATGCATCATGGGGAAGATCCCCTTTGTTCACCACCTTTTGGTGCAGTCGACCACCAATCAGAGGTCCACTAAGAGAGTGGGCTGGCTTTGTGTACTCCCACTCGGGCATTTTGAAAAATGACACTGAAAGATGTTATAGGCTCACAGCAAAATAGAAACATGCAGCAAATGCCTCTTCTCAAAATGCATTGGGCGGGCAAGTCGTCATCACGGCAGCTAACGATCCAATGGCAAAGCCTGTTGGAAACGGAATCAATGAGGAAAACACGCTGTGCCAAGAATACAACGCGGATCCATTGGAGTCCAGCGAGTTACTTTTGCTCAGTGCTCCTTGCTGAGGCCACTGACGCGACAACTCACAAATTTGGCAGGCAACCTGTGGAACGCTTCGCAAGGGCCTTGGAGATTTGAAACAGTTGACTCTTGGCTATTTAACCAAAACCAGAAAATTCATTTGTGCAATCCGAGTACGAAACCTATGCAACAGTATACATATAGAGAGTGTGTAGTGTAGGTCCTTCGGACCCTCTTGAATACCGCAATGAAAACACTTCCCATCGGAGTGGGTTTGCTAGGCTGCAGAACAAGCGAGCCGAGAGGAATGAGTTCCTTCTATGCCATGAGCACGGGCCGCAATTGTCAGAGCATCGTTGCTTGTGTTTGTTTGTGTTGTTTGTTGGTGTGTTTGTCTGTCTGCCTGTCTGCTTGTCTGCCTTTCTGCCTGCCTGCCTGCCTGTCTGTTTGTCTGTCTGTCTGTTTGCTTTTAATTGTTCTTTATTGTTTTTGTGGTTATGGAAAAAGCCTCAAGAGCGACCGACAAAAAAGACAGCCGCTCACGTTGTTCCTTGAGCCAAACGCAGGTCGTTTTGACCAGTGGTTCACCTTTCTCAGGTGTTCATGACCTTCATGAAAAGGTATGCTTTGGGTCGTGTGTTTCTTTTCCATTCACACTCCCCCTATGCTGGTCAGAAACTCCAGCATACTTCATGGGGATCCACAGCAGGTTTTTTCGTCTGCGGCTTCACCCAAAAACTCAAAGCTTCCAGCCGACCGCGAATCTTCGCTGTCGTGGCTCAGGCCAGGTGGCCTCACAAAGGGCGTTTCAATGCCCGTGGACATGTCGTAGGGCTCAAGTACTCTGGGTTGTGGACCACCTTCAACATTCATGCCACTCCTGTCCGCTCTCGGCGGAATTGGAAACTGAGGCGACGAGCTCTTAGGTGCCGCCTGCTGCCAAGCCCCTTGCCCTCCAGGTTGTCCTGGATCATCAGCGCGAGGGTGTCCCGGATCGCGGCCATGAAATAGGGGTCCAAGAAGTCCCTCAGGAGGCGGAGGTCCCACCGGCATCGGTCCTTGCGGGGTTTGTCCAAAGGCCCTTTGCAACACCTCAAGGGATTGCCTCTATCATGCCTCTCAGGGGCATAGGTCTGCCGCCCACCATCAGCCCTGACAGCCGCCGCTGAGGATCTCCGCCCTTCGACAGCCGCAGGAGCCCCACCCACTCTCTTCACCGCAGGTGGCATCGATGTTGCTCTTGCCTCTTCGAGGAGGGTGTCGAGCCTCTCATCTGCTGCGCCCACTCTCAGATGCCCTTCGTGACCTCCCGGATCTCGCAGCCTGCCTCCATCTCGCGAGGCTCGTCGCCGGCGCGCGGCGAATCCGCTCATGGGGACCAGCGACCTCAAAAGAGGGTGGACTTCAACAAGCTCTTGGGCTCATAACCTGTGGTTATGGAAAAAGCCTCAAGAGCGACCGACAAAAAAGACAGCCGCTCACGTTGTTCCTTGAGCCAAACGCAGGTCGTTTTGACCAGTGGTTCACCTTTCTCAGGTGTTCATGACCTTCATGAAAAGGTATGCTTTGGGTCGTGTGTTTCTTTTCCATTCACAGTTTTAATTGTCTTTAATTGTTTGCTTGCTTGCTTGTTTGTTTGTTTTTAATTTGTTTTTTCCTACCTGATCTTATGTCAGCTGTCTGACCTCCTCGTCCTCCTCCTCCTCGTCCTCCGCGTCGTCCTCAACCGCGAGCCTCAGTTGGTAGTGTTCCCGCCGGACCTCAACTGCGAGCTTCGGCTGGCAGTGCCCCCCGCCGGATAGAATGTCAGAATATATGCTAGATAGAATGTTAGAATGTACGCCAGATAGACTGCCAGAGTATTTGCCAAGTAGAGTGCCAGAGAGTCCGCCAGATAGATTGCCAGCAGTGATGCCAAGATAAGATGCAAGCAGCTGTGGTAGACAGAATGCCAGCAACTTTGCCAGATAGAACTCAGACCATATGCCAGAAGAATGATTGGCTCTATGCCAGATTGAATGCCAGGATATGAATGATGGCAGAACAAATGTTGGAATACAGGTCAGAACGCATACCTGAAGTTGGTCCATATGTCACAGCACATGTCAGACAGGAAAAATATCAGAACACACGCCAACAAAGATGTCAGAACACAGTCCAGAACGTTTCCCAGCCTTTATGATAGATGATGTGTCAGAGCACAAACCAGGTTCGATGTCAGAAAAGCGTCAGAACATCATCCCCATGGCATAAATCGCCTTTCAGGGTGGGGATCACTCGAAGTAAGCAATTGTTTGTTTTTTTTTGTTTACCTGTTTGAGTGTGCAAGCAAGCCCTGGAATCACGGGTCAACCTTGGCTGCTTCAGCACGCAGGGAGTCACATTGCAGATCGTGGTTTACAAAGCTATGCAATTTGGTGAGATAGTGAAGTTTTTGGCCATGTTTGAAGGAATTTTAGTCCTGCTGGTTCAACTACTAATGGTTAAGTTACGCGTCCCATTTGTGATTCCGATGGTCTCAGTCTCTATTACCCGGGAATAATTTCTATGATCTTACCCCATTATTGGGCCTGGCTCCCTTATTGGAACCTTGGAGTGGCTTCGTTGATCTCGCTCCCTTGTTGAAACATGTGAACTTCTGGGGACAGGTTGTGCTCTTGATTTGGGATCAAAATTTGCATCTTGGACCTTCCGTTGCACACAGCTGCACTTTTACTTGGTACTTCAGGCCGATTTTGTCCTGTAGGTTGCCTGGCGTGGTGACTGCTTCCTCCGTACACCCTGGCTTTTGTGTTCGGGTATGGGGGGGGATGTTTTATAAAAAGGAGGTGTTGGTGAGTGCCTTTGTTACAGCCAGCATGTAGAGGACAAGGCTAATCACAACGTTCGTTCTTCAGTAGACCTTTTTTTGTCCTGGCTGCTTCGAATACGCTTGGAGAGCTTTGTAACAAGTAGCACAAGATGCGCTCGCATATAATCTGCCTCCTTTCATTTGCCAAAGTCTCATCCTATCACAGGCATGCCTGAGTTTGGCTGCCTTCTCAGCAGGAGAACAAGTTGTGCCATTGTGTTTCAGCCCATGTGGTTGGTTTTGGCGTGAGCAGTGCTTCGTTGAAGGTGAATGCCGTTACGTTGAACCAAAAAAACGTGTTCCGATGATGCAGTGATGGTTTTGACTGGGAAGTGCTCTTTTCTAGCGCGCAGGTCAATAAGCTTAGGCCAATAGCAACAGGGCAACACTCTCCCAGCTCAGTTTTTATGGCACCAGTTGGCCGTTGTTGACTTGGCTTCCTTTCGACAAGGGCCATGTGCTGGCTGTTTTCAACCTGAAGCGCTGTTCTGGCGGCCAAACAAGGATTCGCTCACTTGCACTGTGCGATGCTCATAGATAACCCAAGCAACACATTGAATCGCTTTGGACCTGTTGATGAGACCTCGTCCAGTTGATGTCCCTTGTTCCCATCAACGTAGTGGTATGGTGGCGTAGTTGCTGGGAGTAACTGAGTAGCAAGCTTAGCCTCACAAGCACTTGCCAATTTTTGTTTATTGCACAGTAGGGCTATTGTCACCGTGCTTCATGGCAGCCTGGAACGCTGGTTCGTTCAATGCATTCCATTGCGGCCAAAGCAGGGAGGAGTTGGCCAAGCAGTGTGTTCAAGCGGTTTGCATTCAAGGGAGACCAATCAGATCAACCTGTGTGAGGTTCCACCGCAAGAAGTTTGTGCTGTCCAGCCCCTCAGAGTCTGGATGAAAAGATCTATGAGTGAAGAAGTGGGTTTGTCCAGCGATAGTTTTGCACTCAGCTGTTAAACTTGCAGGCCAGACAAGGAGAACGCTGCGCAAAAGAAGAGACGGCTCACAGACATCAGCAGACCCTGCATGCTTTGCACGCCTTGTGCATGCCATGCATGGTTTTGCTTTTAAAGCCGTGGCTGCATTTGCCAGGTTGCATGGGAATGGAAGATGTAGAAGAAGATGCCCAGGTTGATTCGGCAGCCAGGAGCGCTTGTTATGCTGGTCTTCCCACTCCTTGAGGCAACAGGGCGGCGAAAAGCAGCCTACAGTGGAGGCTTAGTACTGGCTCCAAAGGCCGCCATTTTTGAGAACGACTTGATTTGGTGCTTGTCCATCGCTTGGCGCAACTCTGTTTTGCATTTGACGTGGACGAATTTTGGCTCTGACCCAAGCTCAAAGAAAGGACATTCAGTGCTTGTTGCAAAACTTCAGCAACTTACTAACATCAGAAGAGTGCTCTTACTTTGAAGGCATGCTTTGGGGTACGGTGGATGGCAAAGATGTGCACTTAGTCACTCTGAAGACAGAAAAGTTGGAGGCGCTTTTGGTGCGGCCTATGTTTGTGCGCTGCGTATAGACTATATACATCTATATACCGTAGTCCATTAGTCCATAGTGTAAAATAGATTCTGGAGTGAGGCCAACACAGTATTTCACTTGACTCACTCACCCTTGAGTAGTAGCACAGTAGTAGTAGCACTCCCCCTTGAGTAGTATATCGCTGATTAATGTTGAGCTGGCTGTGTTGCGGTTAAGCATCGTTGATTCTTTGAACCACGATCACATACTGACACTTGTTTGTAACCGTTTGCCGCTCTCGTTTGCCCCCGTTGGCCTCAAGTGTCCAAGTTATGCTGAAGAACATGACTAGATTCTTGCTACCAGTAGCGATGCAATTGTTACTACTACTTGTAGCGATGCCCCTGCTGCTACTAGCTTCTTGTAGTGGTTGGCTTGTCGGGACACGTGTAGTCTTGTCGTTCTAGATTTGTCATTTGTGTAGATGTTCTCGCGGGTCGTCCACACACAGCATACATGTTGGCAAAGGTGTGGTTTGGCAGGTAGATGTTTGCAGCCTTGGAGCCGCTTTGGTGGCGGTGCGCGTGAAGGCAGATTGTTTTGTGGTCTAGAGTCTACAGTGTGGTGTTTTGATGTACGCTGTGCCGCAGGTTCGTGGAGAGTCGATTGATGTGGTGCTTGGCTCGAGCCCACAGATTGTGTAATGAGGTCACAAATCATATTTTCATGCAAGGTCATTTATCAGAACTAACTTGAACTTATTGTAGGTTATGCCATGAACTGTTTGATGCGGATATGTGGTGTGGATAAAGACCACAAAACTGGATACCTACCACGCTGACCATGACAGGCTACGAGACGTTGGAGAGAAGCTTGCTTGCATGTTTGCGACCTATTAGTCCCGTTGCAGGCCACGTAGCATCCAACCACTTGGACTAAGACTTTTTATGTTGGCAAACCAATTTGTTGACCGGTTGGTGTGTTCAAATAATACTTTCACATGATTGGATTTGTTTGCTTTATATGTGTTGTTCTCGTATAGTCAGGGTCTCTCTGCAGGCACCCTCGAATGATTTTGGGATTTAAGAGCTGTTGGTTGACTGTGCTTGGTTTCCTTGTGCAAAAAGACTCATTTGATCTGGCATTGTTGACAGGGATTCTCAAGGTCAGGCTATGAGAAACAAACCCATGGACTCTTGAGCTCTTCCACGTGCGAGCAGGTATCATTCCAATGTAGAACTTGAGGCCTGCAAGCGTATTCTTGCGAAAGCAGATCCAATCCACACAAATAAAGCCCATTGGCCAAGTAAACATGATTCCTAGGGACCTCTGCCGCCCAGCATTTCAGATTGACTTTGTGATCTTTGTATGCCCTTGCACAACTGACACTTAGGATACACCAACGGAGGAAAGCCTAATTTTGGCACAGTCGTTGGGCGGTGTCAGGGCACCTGGCTGCTACCAAACTTGAACTTTTTTCTCAGCTAGATCTCGCTAGTAGGTTGGAGGCCATCGCTAGGTTGGAGGCCATCGTTAATAGGTTGGAGGCCATCGCTAATAGGTTGGAGGCCATCGCTATTAGGTTGGAGGCCATCGCTATTAGGTTGGAGGCCATTGCATGCCATTGCTTCTAGGTAGTTTTTTTTTCTTTAATCAAATTCATGCTTTGACATGACAATGTTTCTTTCAGAAACATCGGTCCTACGTGTTTTCTTTTGCATCGTGTCTTCTGTGCCCTCCTGCTTGCAAGCTCAACAATCGCTTTGGGATATCATATTTGCAAAAGGCATCCACAAGCCTGCATAGTCTATAGTGCTAAAAGAGGTTGTGTTCTTGTGCTAGGTGGGTGTTCTTGAAATTTTCTATAGTCATACCATGTCCTACCCAAACACGTCTTTCTTTTAAGAACGGATTGATAAACTCGTGGATCTGAGGTGCTAATCGAATTGCTCACGCAGCTTTTGAGCTTGATAGCCAAGAATACAAGCTCGATGCAAACAATGGGAGTCACCACCTGCATGGAGGCCATTTGGCACTACCATGCACTACCTGCTCGACTCATTGACGCTTTAGCTTCCTTCAAACATTCAGTCGTTTCATTCTCCCTGCTTCTTGAAAGGCACAAAGGGCTTTTTCTCACAAGTCTTTGAAGTGGTGGAGGTTTCCGAGGAGCAGGCCTGGCCTAGCATGCCTTGTGGCGGAAGAGAGCGACAGAGCTCACGAAATTTGTTGCCACATTTCGACAAGAACCACGGTTTGCTACAACCTTTCCGTTTTTTTGCTGCACGTTCTGAGGTCACTTTGACTCTCACAGAGCAAGATGGAGCTATGGGATACCCTGGCCAGGCACCTTCAGTGGGCACACACTTTGGTTTGGTCTACATACCATCCACTTTACGCCTTAATCCCTTGCTACTCAATGCACCATAGCACTTGGACATTTGAACTGAGCAGATGAACTTGCACGCTATCAGGTGGATGTGAGTGTCACATATTCATTGAGCAGGGCGCCAAGTGTTGTAGAGCAGTTGGTGGATGGAGAAGCATGGTTCTGAGTTTCAAGCTCAGATGATGGAGAGCTGCACTTTCGATATGCTGCGGTTACGGATAAAGCTACTTTGGTCAGCATGTCTTTTTCTCAGACTTCGAACACTGCTGCAATGAGCCAGGTTTGAACATTTAATGCTTGTCAGTGTCGGATGAGGACAAATCACGCGTACTGGAACCTCAAGGGTCATCAGGTCACTTGATTCTAGTTAGATTTGAATAACGCACTGCCATCAAAGGGATATATTTCTTCCACAGGATTCACAGGAAATATGCCTGTCAGGCTGGCAATGTCCTGGATCATACTCTGATGGTTGCAGCCTCACGGACGACTGCCACTGACGAGACTCTCGCCATTACAGGCCTCGGGCCTCAGATCTCTGAGAAGACAATGATGGACTATGCGAACCTAATGGGGGCAGGAGAGTTAGTACCTGGGAAGGCCGCTTTGGTGTGAGCATGAGGCAGAATGTGATGGACCAGGGAACAGAGACCAGAACGGTTGTAGACAAAAGGCTCAAAAAAGTGTAAGCAATGTGAGGGATGGCATATACAGGGTTGGAAGTGTGATCATTGTGCAGAAGAGGGACATGACATGCTTTTCGTCTCAACTCTGCTCCCGTGCTTCTTTGTTGCGTCCCTGAGGTGAACTTCCTGAGGTTGCTGGAGGTTTTGACTTGCAGCTTGGCGTACCTACAGGGCAAGAGCTCATTTCACAACCAAGAACCAAGTCTCCAAGTTGTATCATGTTTGTTGGATGGCTCCTTGTTCAAAATTCCTGAGACATGTCATAAAACATTGGTTTGGTGCCTCGAAAAATGTGTCATCCAAGGCGACACCCTCGCTTGCTGCAACAAGCTGTGGCCACAGAGCTGTGCAGGTTGACACTAATGAATCAAATGAACTCTTGCAAATACGGATGCAACATTCCAACATTGAACATGCCGGAAGACGCTTCCAACACTGGATATATATATATTTATATAGTCGTGTTTGGACACAATCAACTGGCAGAAATGGAATTGAGGCCCTTGAAATTGTGGGTTAGAAGATATCACATGAAAAGTCATTGGAGGCAACGGCTTTTATTGACGTACCCACATTCATCCAAGACAACATCTCCATTTGGCACACAGGTGGAGGCCCTTACTCTGACTGTGGTCGGACCCTCTTGTAGACGTAGATGTCCACAATTGTTTTACAACACATCTTTCAGCCCGCTGAGACCGCCTGTTAGCTTTGTTGACCGCTTTCCTGGCAAGGAACCTCAGAAAATGAGTCACTCATCAAGCGGATGACAAGCACAAAGCCTTAGTCTAGGATCAGGAATTTGGGTGGCCAAAACTGAGATAGCTGAGACAAAAATGAAAGGTGCTCAAAGACATGCGGGCTACTCAGCCGCTAGTGTCTATAAATTCCGAAATCGTAGCGTGCGCAATCATCCTTCCTGCCTGGCAACGCTGGAAGCAAAGACCGTGGTCCAACTTTCCTACCTGACCTTTTTCCAGTACATAGTTCCGCTTGTCACTACATGCTTGTCAGGACTGGGAAGTCATCAGTTATCTCCTGTCCTTGTGCGCACTGGCTTTCCCCAGCACACAGAACTGCAGACAAGATGTAATTATATCCGTTCTACAATCCTTTGAACCCCTTTATTGCGCATTCCTACAAGTGTTTTACGAGCACTTCACTAGCATCAAAAGCCGTCACTGACGCAAGTCGCAAAGAGCTTCCTTGCGCGACGGTGTGTGGACGAAGCAGTTAAATGGCAACGAATGGTGTTGCTGCGATGCCTGCAAAGGCTGTAGAGGAAGCAGGTCCGATTGACCGCAACTACTGCCGGGGGCTTACGGCACACCTAGCTGGGAGCAATGCCCACCAACAATTGTGCAAGTTGCAAGGATACTTGCCATCAGTACATGTTGGTTCTTGCATCATGCATCCTAAATCCAGGACCAGAGATCATTGGCGCTTCCTACTCATCAGTCAGCCTGAAAGACTATATCCTTTCAACCTTTTAAATGGCAGCGTGTGTGGTAGAAGGAAGACTTGTGCAATTTGCACAGTCTGAAAGTTGTTCAATACTTTCCTGCTGGAAGTGCGGATTTGTGAGTGTGTTCATTGCACACTAGGAGGTCTCTCAGTTCAGCAAAGTAGCTTCTTTCTGTCGAGATTCCTACATGATTGCTTCAGATGGACGAGTAATATGCTTGTGTTTGTGCATATCTGTTCAAACGAATTAGGTTTGGCCCTCACAATGAGGCTTGGATCGTCCATCCGGCACACCGGGTCGGGAGATTCTTGCGGCACGCCTGGTTGGTCCCAACAAGGTGCGATGCACCTGACCTGGCGGACCTGGCAAGGAGCCCCTACTAGTAGTAACAAGTGCCTCGCTAGTAGTAACAGGTGCCTTACTAGTAGTAACAATGTTTGCTATTAATCTATTAGAATTGAACTTAAAATTAAATTAACTAATAGCTTCTTGTTACTACTAGTAAGGTCCTTGCTCCTCGTAGCGATGCCAGGAGCCCCGTTCGTAGCTTCTTGCTCCTAGTAGTAAGGCCAGGAGCCCCTAGTAGCGGCCTGGCTGATGAACATGAATAAACTCTGTGTCTATGTGTGAATTGTGTACCCAGTGTACCCTTCCACCAGCCTTACCAGGTCACAATGGAGATTTGGACTGATCAACCTGGGCTGCAGGCCATTGAATGTTGTTTTCATTTGTGTTCTTTTTTTGAACAGTGCACAATAATCGAGACGCAAATCATGAAAACTACATGTGCGAGATTGACTATTTGCGTAGTCCTCCAGAATTGTCAGGTGTTCACAGGCTCCAATATTGCTGCAACAGGTGCGTGATCCTTCATCTCTTAGCTCTTTGATGCTCTTTATGGAATCTTCCAGCATCAATCATTGGTATATTTACATGTATTTACCACGTCGTGAAGGCCCGGGCACATGGTGGCACGGCAAGGCTTGAAGTCCTTTCATACAGCTCTTTAGTAAGCCTGTGTTCTTGTGACTATTTTGTTCCTCAGTCTCATCAAGCAGCTTTGGGTTGCAAGGGCTGCGAGTGGCAGCAGTTCGGTGCCATTTGTTTGGAACCGCAGCTTTGGCCGGATGCGGTTTGCTCCTCAGTTCGCTGCAAATTTGTCTCTCTCTCTCTATATATCATTGCGTCGGCAGTGCGGTCCCCGATTCTTCCGCCGAAGACGCGAAGCTCCGAAGACGCAAAGCTTCAGAGCTTCAACTGAAGACGCGAAGCTCCAAAGACGCGGAGCTTCGGAGCTTCAACCGAAGACGCGAAGCTCCGAAGACGCGGAGCTTCAAAAACGAAGACGCGAAGCTTCAGAGCTTCAACTGAAGACGCGAAGCTCCAAAGATGCGGAGCTTCACAGCGTGCCTGAAGACGCGGAGCTTCACCCGAAGACGCGAAGCTCCGAAGACGCGGAGCTTCAGAGCTTCACCCGAAGACGCGAAGCTCCGAAGACGCGGAGCTTCAGAGCTTCACCGAAGACGCGAAGCTCCGAAGGCGCAGAGCTTCAGAGCTTCAATAACGAAGACGCCGAGCTTCAGAGCTTCAACCGAAGACGCGAAGCTCCGAAGACGCGGAGCTTCAAAAACGAAGACGCGGAGCTTCAGAGCTTCAAAGCTTCAACCGAAGACCCGAAGACGCCGAGCTTCAGAGCTTCAAGAGCTTCAGGAGCTTCAAAGCCAAAGCAAAGACGCGGAGCTTCAGAGCTTCAAAGCTTCAGAACGATTCCGGGACCACGCTGCCGATGCGGTCATATATATATATATGTGGGTGTTTGCAACTGAACGGCTTGTTCAAAGGTACATCACCCGGAGTTCGAGAGTTCAATTCTTCGACCGGGACAAACCTACAAGCATCATTCCTGGCATGTGTTTATCGTTTGGGTCTCAAACTGTAGCGGCCAAGGCATACAATCAATGTGATTCTTTTTCTTGCAGCTTGCATCAGCCAACGGGCTTTGCATGTTAGGTGGAAGATTGAGTCTTGACTTTGATGGATAGCCTCAATTTCAAGTGTACAGCAAATTTCAGCAAACATACAAATTTTGAGTGTGATCGGTGTGATCTTGATTGCAACGTCAGCCAGAGTACCTCGCCACAGAGCGTGGCACTCCAGACACAGCAACAAAAGATTCTACATCTCACTGAATGAAGGCTGAGATATGTATGTTGCACAAAGTGCAACAAACGTTTAAAAACCAGGTTTAGAAACTCAGGCAGTGAGCAAAATGCTGGTGCCCGTGTTTCCGTTCGCATGCTACCTACAGGGAAGTCCCGGCGACGGCATTGCACCCTTCTGTGCAGGCAGGTCTATATGACGATTTTGTCATGCTTCTGGATTTCAACAGTCTGTACCCTTCAATCATCCAGGCCGATGCTTTGCCTCACAGGATTATGTGAGAGACTTTCTCAGTGTTCAGGAGCATAACATTTGCTTCACCACAGTCGACAGACCGGATGAGAACGAAGTCGCCAAGTTGGCCACAGAGGTTTTTGGATTTGGGATGCTGCCATTCATTTGAAGCCCTGACACATTAAACACGTCGAACAGTTGCTTCATTTTTCAATGCAGTAGATCTGACTACATAGACACAATTGCCAACGCATGTATGCAATTAGTGCATGTACCGGAGAAGCAAGATTGATTGGTTATATAAGCGGTGCTGTTGAACACTCTTTTTCCTGGACTGTGTAAAGCATCGGTGGGAAGTAAAGCCAAAATGATGCGCGGGCACCAACACCTGGGAGACAACGGGAGACAAAGCGGTCCCAACGACCCATCTGAGCAATGCGTTTGAGGAACATGCAATTGAACCGACCGCACATTGATGCAGCTAACCCTGGCCCAAAGCAGTCAGCCACAACTACTTGTACTGGCTTCAAGATGGCCAAACACCAAATTGTCTCGCATCCAATTAATATTTGCTTGTGGATTCCATTCAAACTTGCCTCCAATATGTTTGTTGTCACTAGGTCTGAGCTGTTCTTGGCGGCCCTCTGTGTTGGAAAACATATACAATATAAATCAATATAATATCATATATGTAATTATACGGTATACGTCGCTACTGATGCGTGCTAACGTCTTTTCCAGGTCGGCCATCCCACTTGGGGAATTGGTTCGACAGATATGTGATATCACAAGTAGAAAGCCAAGAAATGAATAAACCTACATCAAGCCTTATGAAAGCGCCTCGAGTGCTAGCGCCGTAGCTCCGAGCATCACGAACATTAGAGCAGAATCAGGCTGGCAGGATACTAAAGCAATGGCAAAGGGTTACCGCTTAAAGTCGGTGTTCTTCTCATTGGAGGCTAGCTCAAGCATATCTCGCATTATCTCACCAAGAATCTTTAGTTCCCGCGTGCTACAACTTAGAGTGTATCAGAGATCACGACATGACTAAATAGCACACATGTTCTTCCTATACGTTCGATTACTTTCGATCCCCTTTAACACAGATGCGCAAAAAGGTGCAATCAGCATAGGCCCATGGTGTTTGATGTTTTTTTTGCCGGGCAACATCGGAGAAAGAAGAACGGCTGTGCTTTTTTGCGTAGTTGAAACATTAACTTGTTACTAGTAGCTTCTTGTTGCCAGTAGTAATGCCCTTGATACTAGTAGAGATGCCCTTGTTGCTAGTAGATACTAGTAGCTTCTAGCTAGTAGCTTCTATGGTCAAATATGCAACTTACGACATCGGCCCATCGGCGTTGGAAGGCGCAACTCTTGGCAAAGACACATGCAGATGGAATGGCCGACGAAGGCATCCTTCCGCAGGCTATGGTCACTGAGGAAACCCTTCCACGCAAGCACTTTTTTTTTTTGCATAACTTGAGGTTCTACGTCGTTTGGTAGACAGCCGACGCCAAGTGAAAGCTGCTATGAAAGCTGCCAGAACCCAAGTGAAGGAAACTATAAGCATGCCTGTTGCTTCCGTATTATCACAAGTAATTTAGGGCTTTAGCTACTGTAACACAGACTTGACGGATCTTGACAGCAACTTTTGAGGAAAAGAACCCAAAGCTTCTACAGGTTCTTGAGATCAGGCAGAAGGCGTGGTTGCTTTTCTCGTGTTGATTTGAGGCTGGAGAAAGACATACCTGATGATGACGGCGGTGATGATGATGCTGCTGCTGATGATGCTGATGACGACCAAGTTGGCTACCATTGATTGTTTGCAAAAAAGATAATTCTTTTTGTATCGTTGTTGCAGGCCCTCAAGCTCACTGCCAATTCTATGCGCCCCAACCCTGAAGCATCACAACCTTCAAGTTGCGCGGAAAGTCTCCAGTGAAACTGTGCCACCAGGTATGGTTGTTTGGGCTTTCAACACAGCCGTTTCCACGTTTGGGACTCAACATTTTGTGAGACTGATTGAGATCTTCTTTTAATTTAAGGCACGACAAGAGCCCTGTGCACGTTGCCCCAAAGATTTAGGAATCACTTCGATCATGCAAAAGGTTCTTCAAGGAAGCTTTTCCTGCCATCAAGGAACGAGGAGTTTCCTTGAAGAACCCATCGCTCTTCTGCTTTCTCAGCTACTAATAGCTTCAAGTCGCCTCGACTTGAGCCCTGATGAGAGAGATGCCTTGTGGTATGAACCTGGGTGTGGTTCAGCTACCTGTTTGTCTATTTATTCTTGACCAACCTGCGGAGCCCATCAAAAAAGGGAACCTGTATGCACATTTAATATATATATATATATATTGTCACGAAAGCCAGCCGATAGGCAAGGCTTGAGGTAGCTATGCGAACGAAGTGAGTAAAGGGGGTGTGGGGGGTGGTTGCGAGAGGGGCAATCTTGGAGAGGCTGACCCAGAGCCTGGTGGGGGAGAGCGAAAAATAACGAGGTGGTCACTTGGTAGTGAAAATGAGTAGTTTTTGGGGATGTTGTGATGCCGGTGATGTATATAATTGACGGCCAGTAGTGCATCATTAGCATCACGAGTGGCTAGGAGGCAATGTAAGCCGCTTTCTACCAGGGGTGGGAGTTCATGTCAACGATAGGAAAGAGGGGACAAGGGGACGCGAAAAGTGGTTGGAACTATTTGGAACTTCTCCAGAAAAGGGAGATGCGCGCCTCTCGTGGCCAGTGAAATAGTGTTCGACCAGGGGTGAAAGGGAGGTGTGTGTCTCTTAAGACATTCACTGTCTTAAGTAACTCTTTCTCCCACTGTCTTGCAGCGCGGCTGTGCCACAGCTTCTTTATGCGCGACCTCCGATAGAATCAGTGGAGTGGAGGTCGTAGTGACCAATAATCATCCACAGCATGTGACGTAGCCCGTGCTTTTGCTTTTGCAATCAGAGACTCTCTTGCATGCGATGAAAAGGAGCGCAGACCTATCAAGTTGGACAAGTGCAAACTATGTTTTTTTCTCTCCGGACTTTGTCTCCCCGATAATTGCATGCCTCACTTCCGAAGTAGATCGCTGCTTGCACCTTCATGACCACCACTTCCTCCAATAGTGTTACTGAACATGACCAGACCCAATGGTGACCTTGACCTCAATCAGCGATGGTTAATCCCATATTCCCCACTTTGAGTCTAATATCCAAGATTTTCCTAGCGTTGATTAAACCAACTTCCGTCGGGGTGCCCTTTTCACCTCCGAAACAGTCCTCCACCAACACGAAAAAGGGCACTCCCCCCAACCTTGTATTCTACTTTCTCTTTCTACTCCATGCAAATGTATGCAATATCCACTTCACTACATAAAGGTACGCTTTGCCCGATGTTCGCCAATCACTTCATCTTGCACGCTCGAGGGGCGGCAATATCAACTTCACCACTTCCAGCCCTCTACCTTTATATACATATAATATGTTTCCTCGCGAAAGCCTGCCGATGACCTGGCCCCTCAACCCCCCATAAACATCTTTGCTCACTGATTGGCACCACACAGCAAGCTACCACCCCTCACTTCCTTCCAGGTGCCCTTTTTCACCTCCAAAACGAGCCCGAACCACGACGAAAAAGGGCCCCCCCGAACCTAAGTACTAGACGTTCCATTTCTATCTCCTATGAGAGTGGCTGCGATGTCAACTTCACCACTTCCAGCTACTCTTTCTCCACTCTACCCTCTAACACACCCCTGACCTAAAACAAAAAAAACGGCCATGCCTGGAAATGCCAGCCTAACCCTAAGGGCACCCCCCTTGGTGCAAAGGCTGGCTTTCGTCCCCTCCCTTTTCAGGTATGATACCGTATGTGTTTGCCTCTTGCTTCCCTTCATTGCTTGCCGGTCTAAATGATCCCCTCCTTCATAAAAGAATTGCAAGTGTGGCGGATATTTTCGCAGCCTCTTGCCTGGCCGAGGCAAGGCCATTGGCCGCCCTGATTACAGCGATGGGTCGAGAAGCCCTGCAATCGACCATTTCTGCACCTCGCAATTTGAATGCAGCCTCAACACCCTGTGTGTGGGGTTCACCACCTGTCGTCAATCTTGTGGCACGCATATGTTTGGTTTCTACTCCATGTTCCGTAATTATTAGTCGCCTGGAGGTGTGGGACAAGAGTGGCGATGTGGTAGCTCTTCTACCACCCGAGCATGGTAGCTCCTACCACCCTAGCTTTCAGTTCGTTTGATTGCATGCACCCGTCGGTTGAACATTTGACCCTGGTTGTAGCCCAACTCAATGCAGCTGTGGGGAACACATGTTTTTTAGAACCTATTTCTTTACATGCTGTTTGGAATGGTTGGAGCAAGCAAACGATCTAGCAAGGAGTAGAGGGGGCAAGATGACAGAGCAAAATTAACGTCCTGTACTGGCACAAAGTGCCCTAATGCTGCAATGGTTTGTTTATGGCATTAATGTTTGGCACATGAACATGGATACTCCACTTGTTCAATTCAGCCACGGAGCGTCGGGCCTTGCACACAATCCATCCTCAAGTGCGAAAGGGGTTGGTTGCGTTGACAGTTGACGGTGTTGATTTCTAATCATATTTGACGCAGAAATGATTTTTGTTTTGGTCTAAATCACATTGACTTTGCGATTGGGTTTCATCCAAGGTTGTGAACCAAGAATTGCAGCTCGATGTGGCTGGAACTCAGCAGTTTTGCATGATGGATGGTCCAATGATATTGTGCGTGCTAAGGTCTATGGAGACACCGATTCCGTTTTTGTCAACACAAAGACTTCCAATTTCCAGCAGGTTTCCAGCTCAATGGGTTCAACTAATGGAACGCTGGGTTCTTCTCAATCCAGGCCATGCAGATTGGCGAGCAGATCAAACGCTCAGTGAACAAGAGGCTTGATGTCTCATGTTTTGGCTAACGGCTTGAAAACCGCACGTGTAGTTACGTTATGTTACGTTCATGTTGACAGAATGTATGTTTTTCGTGCGGTTCGGTGGTTGCGGGGAGCAGAATTCAACGGCAACTTGGCTGCATCCTGCTGTGTTTTTCGGTGTTTTTACAGATTTGCAGTCTGTGCAGTTTTATCGGCACAGGATGTTGCTTCGGGTCACTTGCTTGCGTGCGCGATGTGCGCCACAGGATGTTGCTTCGGGTCAATTGCTTCGGTAGGGGTGGGGGTGGGGATGACGGGGTCCAAGTGGTGAGGTTCGTTATGATTGGCAACCACAGGATGTTGCTGGCAGGCACAGGATGTTGCTTCGGGTCACTTGCTTGGGGTCACTTGCTTGCGTGCGCGATGTGCGCTACAGGATGTTGCTTCGGGTCAATTGCTTCGGTGTGTGATGTGGGGATGGGGTTGGGGGTGGAGGGTGGGGTGCAAGTGGTGAGATTCGTTGTGACTGGCAACCACAGGATGTTCAATCCGCGGTTACTCTGCTTGTATGCCGCATGCCCGTCAATGGCAATGGCGCTGGGAAGACACTGGCGAAGGAAACTTGAGCCGGTTGACGGCGAATACATTTTTGAAGAGTTGACCAACGACATTCACATGGCCCAGAACAAAAGGGCCAAAGCGGCGACGCAAAGTTGTGTTTCGCTGCAAGTTTGCGTTCTGCTGTGGCCGTAGCGAAACACAAATGGCCTCAAGAAAAGATTCAACAATGTAACCTTGTTTCGCAAGGGTCCAAAACATGGATATGGCCACTTTCCATTGTAAAGCACACAGTATTTGCACCACTGGGATGTATATAATCCCCCCGTAAATGCAACTTCCAAAGGACTTCACACAAAAAAAAGCACAAATTGCTAACTAATATGATGGGTTCCATCACAACCACACGTGCAGTTTTCAATCCGCCGGCATGTTTTTCCTCTACGTGTTAGTTACTGTTAGTTAGTTGGTGGCAAGTGGCAAGTATAATTGTTGTTTGCAGGTACAAAAAACTTGAGATTGAGATAGATGGAGTATTTGCATAGACCTCAGCCAGACTTCAGCCAGAAACAGGACATAGGCATCTCGATGTTCAATGTTCAGAAATGCAATTGTGGAATATTTGATTTGGTTCTAGGTTCGCTTGATGCTGCTGAAGAAAAAAAAGTATGCTGCGATGAAGGTGCTTTCTGCTCAATGTGTGATTTTTCCTGGTGCAACTGTAATTGCTACAGGTTTTGAACTGGGAAGAGCAGATCTTTGAAAAAGAGTTCAAAGGCTTCGTCATCAGTTCGTCATAAACTATGACATGAAACAAACCATGTTCAACAAAGGTCACACCGTGAAACCTTGTTAAAGGCATGCTAGCAAACAGGCCTCGACATTGTCAGACGCGACTGGTGTGGGCTAGCAAAGGAAATGGGTGAGGCGCAGATGTTACACTTCACTCGCAGTTGCAACCGTGCGTTGCAAAACCAGATGCAAGAAAGGCGATCTTGATGAGAATCCTGGATACAAAGTCAAACCAAGAAGAGTTTGGTCCCGAGATGGAGTTTGTCAGAGAATGCAAACTCTTGCCCGCAGCTCTGAGATGGAGCATGATGTTTTTGGACACCGACATGTATAGCGAAACAATAATGTGTGATTTTCAGGTCTCTTCACTGGGTACATCAGTATTTGGCTGACAAGTCCAAGGAAATGGATGATGGCAAGGTTCCAGATTTGCATCTAAAGGAGGTGCCGGTTGGCTAGTTTTGTCTAGGTGTCGCTGGACAAGTTCATCATCACAAAGGGCCTCACAAAAGATCCAAAGGAGCTGAGTTGACTCTTTGCAATCTCAGTTCGATTCTAGCTGAGACAACATTGAACTCTCTTTGCCTGTGCGCTGCACAGCATTGCACAGTAAGTGGTGGAGGACTACCCGGATGCCAAAACCCAGCCCCATGTGCAGGCCGCTGCAGCGTTGCTTGAGCGCACATACTTTGCTTGAGACTCCATATATCCACACAAGAGCCGCAGGTAGCACTGAGATTGATTTCTCGTGGGAAGCATGTTCAGACCTCAGAAGCAATTAGGCGCACATGAGACAGAGCCAAGTTGTACTGAGGTTCGCCCAGGGCAAGAGATCGGATATGTTATTTGCAATCCAACAGGCACATGTTGCTACATTGCTACACTGAACATGTGTACTCAGCTGAGTCCCAAAAGGACTTCAGGGTGCCTAGCTTCATTCAGTGATGCTTGCTTCTGCCTGTATGTCGCACCAGGGGATGGTACCGCCAAAGATCTCCTTGCTGAACGTGCACGCCATCCACATGACGTGCAGACGGACGGATTCTTGCGCCAATTGCTCGATGGAGCAAGTGCCAAATGCACACACCTGGCGCCAGGACCAAAGCCTGAGCCTGGATATTGCATGGTACAAGAAGCAGCAGGCGGCAGATCCAATAGATTGGCCTTTGATTCCATGAATGTGTGGCTTTGGTGGCTGGGTGTTTCCAAGTCTGCGAAGGTACATCCCCTCGTTTCTCGAATACTTGCAGTTGTGGAAGGCACAAGCTCTGCAAGACTCGCTGAATGCTTAGGCGAGGGAAGCCTGTTGCCTTGCGATGTGTTGGGAGGTCTTTTGGGTGAGTTGGTATTTGCAACTCTACGCGAAGAACCATGTCGAAAGTCCTAGAAGAATTTATTCCTGTATATTCAAGTGTTGTCCTTCCCATAATAACGTATCCTGCTTTTGGTTCGCTCTGCATGCGTTGTTGCCTTCAGGCATTGATTCTACGCGATTCTGTCAGGTGCGTTGTGGCTTTGACACGGGCCTGCCCTTGATTGCATTGGTGTTGCTGCTTGTCAGGTTGTCCGCGCGGAAGAAAACGGAAGCTTGCCTGCATTGCGACACTCAAAGCTTGGCAATGGCATGGTGTGTGGCTTTGTTTTAAATATAGCTGTGCTTGAGGAGATGTTATGGAATCCTGCATGCCGGTGCGCTGGGTTGGCCTACTGTGCTTGTTCTTAATTGAGAAGCCTTGAATATATGCAGTTGGGTGAGTGTGGATTCACAAATCTGGTGCAGTCAATGGCTACCGACTTGAATGCCATTTTTGACCTTGACTCAGCTCTCAAGCATTGGACGGGTGTTATGTCGTGTAAGTGCATGATGGATAAGGACCGCAAGCTCCGGTTCAATGGCTTCCCTTCGGTGCTCCAGGGAGTTAAATGCAAATCGTGCAAAGCCCTTAATGCATGCCACATCTCAAAATGTTGAAGTTCTGACATCAACTCCCAGGTAGTGTGACAACAAAGTGGGAGCAGCGCTGCTCCTGGCTTCTTGTGATCAGAGAGCGTTTACGTGCAACTGTTTGCAATTTGATGTGAGAAGAAGAGAAGAGTGATTAGGCTGAGCCGGCCACCTTCACGTGTGTTTCTTATCCAGGTTCTTGCTTGGCGAGTCGAGCTCAAAGGCTACGCTGCATGGGCTTTGTTTGTTACGTGTGAGCCATTGTTCTCTCATGCAAGTTACAAGCCTTCTGGAAGGTGACCTCGGGTCTTTTTGTTTTGATTCATGGCGAATTGGTCTTGATGAGGATTTGTATTGCTTTGACTCATGGCCTGCTTGCTGGACGGACACCTTACCTATGTAGCAGGTTGACGCTGTTTGTATCAAGTTTACGAGAAAGCTCCAGGGAGCAGAGAAGATGTGGCTTGTACTCACTACTCACTACTGTGTTGTTTAACGCTTGGGCATACTCACAATATTGTTCAACGTATTTTTGGTATGCAGAAGCAGCTACTCATTTGTGCGGAGTTGTTGAAGGCCCAGCAGGCTTTTCGCTGCGCTGCCTGCCAGACGCCGGTGACGGAGCCAAAGCGGGTCGGTGGCGTTGAGGGGAGATTGCAAGTGTTTTCTGAGGTGGATGCCAAGGTTGTTCGGAACCTTTGGTTCATGCAACTGAGGTGACTTGGTTTGGAATTTTGATGCACGCGCTCACAGCTAAATGTATTTGAGTTGACACGGTTCCACCGCCGAAGGCGGCTTGTCAAGGAGCATGGCGAAGGCGGGGAGCCTCATAAAAAGGTGGTGAGCTCAACAGGAAGAGACCTGTCCTGTCAGGTTGGGTGCAGCCAGAAGAGAGCTCTTGCATAGCACCATGGCGAATCAAGTGTTGCTTCTTCAAGCCCTTTGTCTATCCTTGTCTATGTGTTCTATGACTCCAGGTGTCCTTATACTATAGTACTCTGTGTAACCATGTTGAGCTGTCAGACTTTAGTCGTTTCCACCAACAGTATATGTCCAGCGTTGAGTTTAAACTGTTAGAAGAGGTCGTCCTTGTTCGAAGATGATGAAACAGAGTTGCGATGAAGATGCATATTCTTCAACAAGCATGTTGAAATGAAGATGCTGTTCTCCTCTTCCTCCAGCTGCAAGAGGTATGCTTTTCAGTCTCTCATTATAATTCCGTCAGGAATTCTTGAGCCTCATTGACTTGCCTGAGGAGAAGACTCGCCGACTGAACAAGGGGCAAAATCTGGTCAGCGAGAAGACTGCATCTCACCCAGCAGAGCAGAGTCCGTAACTGCACTTTGAACATGATTGACATGATTGAACAACTTTGAACAATTCCCTTCACAACGAATGAAAAAGAACGGGAATTGGCTCCTCGAGATGGGAGATGCAAGAGCTGCTCCTCAGGTCTATGCTGAGCTTGAGTTTGCAACCCACCTTTGTGAATGCGCGAGGGAAAGGGCGGAGGACCATGGAGCAGGAAGAATGCTACTAGTCGTAGTAATGCCCTTTGTTACTAGTAGCTTGCCCCCTACTTACCTAAGTAGGCGCCTACTTCATCAAGGGACAAGGGAGCAAGCTTCTAGCAACTGGACGCAGGGAGCTTCCTTGAAGAAGCGCTCCCACTAACTAGATTTATATATATGGAAACTTAACTTAAAGGGTTGCATGATGGCTTGGTAGGTTGCAGTCCATTCAGGAGAACGACTCTGTCAACGAGACGATCCAGAAAATGAACAAAGTGCGGATCTTGGTGCTGTTTTAAGGGGGCGCCGTTCAACAGTTCTCTCAGCTTTGGTAGTCAGATCTTGCGATGAAGAGATTCAGATTGCAAGCCTTGCTTTGACGAGATTGAAAGGTGCCCCATGATTGAGTTTGGATTATATAATGGACTGGAAGGATAACCTTGCAGAAAGAAGTGGAATTTTGTTGGTAACCTTGCCAAGGACGCTAGTTGTTGGCTTGGCTTCAACAGAACCGCTCTCAGACCGAACTCACAGGCAGTGCATTTTGCCTTATATAAATGTGTTGGTGGCTAAATTCCTAGCGCACGTCCTCGTCCACATTGGTCAGTCCTTACCTGTGAAACCCTTACGATTGCATTTAGATTTTAACTTTGTGCATCTTTTTACCCTGTGTCCCTTTATATAGATGTTCAGATTCATATTATATATCATTGATATCAATTGATAATAATTGATGAGAATTGGAGTTGCTGTACCAGAAACTAAACTTGGATAGAAGATACAAAACCTTAGTTTAGTGATGTTTAGGGTGAAGTTGTTCCTGTGAGTCCAGGAAATTCACAAAATATGTTGTTCTTCAGATCATATTCAGAAAGTGATGGTGTGCGCTCGCCACCTTCGTTCGTGCAACACGCACCAGGGCATCATCCTTGCGTCAGAATTCGGCAGTCGAACGGCATGTCCAAGATGATCCAATGCTTGAAGCTGAGGTTGGAATTGGTTGGACCTGAAGCACATCTTTGGCTCTTTCAATACAACTCAGGCTGTGCAGGCTTTTTGGGCAGCGCTTGGTGTATCAGGGAAGCTGTTTTGTCTTAAGAAGGGTTCTTGTCAAGAACATGTTTCTTGTGTCACGTCGACCGGACCTAAGGCGAGCATAGTACTGCAAAAGTAGTAGGCAAGATGTCCGTGGTCCTTGAACTGAGCTCGCTCCATGGCAAGCGGAGGAGCTGCCCGCACCAGAATATTCTGTCCACAAAATGCCCCTGTTTAACTTCTATTCTATGTTGGAACTGTATCACTATGCCACTATTATGCCACTTAGATGAGTCCTTGTCATGTTGTGACGGTTTGTGGTATGCCTCCAGCGTGGCTGCGTGGCTGCGTTGAATGCTTTCTTGACCAATATCATGGGCCTTGTCAGCTTATTTGTGTGTACCTGCACAAACCATTGTGTGTGTGACCTCTTGGACATTTGGTTAAAGTTGATACCTTTCTTCTACGCTCGCAGACGCTTGGCTTGCTCTTCCAGCTTTGAATGCATACAACGTTTGTTTGACTGGCATGGCATGACCAGAAATGTCCTTCACCTTGAGCTAGCTTGTAGTGAGAAGCCTGTGATTGTTTTGATGTTTTGCGACTTCGTCAAGCTTTCAATGCCTCTGGCAGAGCCTTGAGCTGACAATATTGTCACAGGCTTCATGATTCTGATGGTCCTTCGACCTGTGAGGGCAATTGCACAGACCAGACTTCCCATTTACATTCAGCACCTTGTCTCATTCTGCATGTTTGAACAAGCAAGACAAAAACATGCAAAGACATGTACAGTATACCTTCCACTACATGTCTCGTAAAGAATCTCTCACAACATATACACACGATATGTTGATAACAGGTGCCTTACTAGTAGTAACAAGAAGCTATTAGAAACAAGTGC